ATCGGGGTTTTCGCGTTCTATGACAGTCTTTTAGTAAATAAACGACATGTAATTAATTTTGTGCATATTTATATTTAGTGTGCAGCTGAAATTTGTAAAAACAAAAATGTTTTTATTTGTGTTTTACAAAGAAAACGTTGTGCTTAATAAATTAATTTAGCAAATAAATGTAAAAAATATTTTTTCTGTAATAATGTGTATATTTTTAAATAAAGAGCGAAACAAATTTATATAAAAAAGAAAATAAATTTTACCAATTTTTTGTGCCAAAAAACAGATAAATTAAGAAAAGTCGAAAACTAAGCAACAAGCATAAACATTGTATGGAAAATAATTAAAAGTTTGCTGCATAAAGAAAGTAATTGCAAATCAACTGAATGAAAATTTGTGTTAACATATAACATAACATTTACATACATACATATGTACATATACGATTATGAAGGTAATTAAAAATGGAAAAGTTATAATATTGAAGAGAAATTAAAGTGAAATTTAATGCAAAATACAGACATGTAGAAAATATATTTATATGTAGTTAAATTGAATTATAATTAAATTTTTGGAGGAGTAACTATTTACATACATATATTTAAATTATAAACATACATACGTACAGCCAAAACAACATTATATACAACAACAACAACAACATAAAACATATAAAAGTATATTATTTGATTCTTAAATTGTGCGGTTTCACCATTTTTACTTTTATTTAGCCCTAAAATGCCTGGAAATTCTTTTGAAATATTTGCCATAGTCAAAGTGCGATAATATTATAAAAAGTATATACATATATGCAGTTATGGCAATTGGCGGTAATGTTTAAATATTTACACAACCCTCAATGCACCTACCGCATTTGTATTCAATCCCGATGGCTTGAAGCTAAATCGCACGATTTCGGTGCATCTGTACAGATTTGCAAATTTTGGGCTTGTCACTGAGTGGTGTTGTAGCTCAATAAAAAGATTTCGGTGTTAAGCAGACAAACTTTTGTATGAAAACAACAAATTTTTTTGCTCATTTCTATTTAAGGTATCATTTTTAAAATTTATTTTCAACCAGGGATCGCTTGACACTTTTCATGATTTTACAAGAAGAAAAAGGTCGGGTAAAATCTTGTAACTTCATTCTCTACACAACTCTCCAAAAATCGCTCTCATTTATAAGATTTTGGAGTACGGGATCATTTTTCCTGTAACTTCCTGCAATTTCGTGTAAAACCCTGTAAGTTCATGGAGTACTGGATCAGAGCTAATATAACCTCAAATATCGCCAAAAACCGTGTCAAAATTTTTCGAACCGTGTAATTAGTACTTCATTAACTAACAGGTTTTTTCACGAACTTGCAGGAAGTTACAGGAAAATTGTTGCCATACTCCGAAATTCTGTAAATGAGAGCAATTTTTGGAGAACAGAAATTTGACAGATGTTAAGACACATTTAGTAGTAGGTGGAGACGTGGGGTAATATTCCTGGCGTGCAATCAACTTTTAATTTATTGCCTTCAATTTTATCGTTCTTTTTTTATTTTAAAGAAATCAACGTTTTTGGTAGATACTCTCTTTTTACTCTCACCCTAGAGAGTAATTTTGCTGTTTGACATTTCTACAATATTTTATACGAAAAGTATTCTATCAAAGCTATTGTAAAAATGTAAAATTCTGTACGAATGCACCAATCGTGTAAGTTGGCCTTTAGATGATTTTTATTACAGTTCTTTGGGGTACTGTATTCGGCTTTTGTTAAGAGTATGTTGGACGTGGCAATATATCCAACATTTCCAGGCTATTTGCATCAAAAGAGAATTAAAAGAAAAAAATTTCGCTTACAGCGTTTTGGCGGTTAGGGCGCGATATATGTTTTTAAATATGTATAATATGAGTAAACCAAAACACGCGGCCGCTGTGGTTTAGTGGTAAGCAGTGCGCACTTCCACTCCGCAGCGCCTGGGTTCAAGCCCTGGTCAAAGCAACATCGCAAAACAATTTTGAAAAAAGGTTTTTTCTCAACAGCGGTCGCCCCTCGGCAGGCAATGGCAAACCTCCGAGTGTATTTGTGCCATGAAAAATAGCTTCTCATAAAAATACAATCGCCGTTCGGAGTCGGCGTAAAACTGTAGGTCCCTCCACTTTGTGTGACAACATCAAGGCGCGCACCACAAATTGGAGGAGAAGCTCGGCCAAACACTAACATGTGTGTAAGCGCCAATCTATTATTATTATTATTATTAAAACACGCCAGACCAACGAGAACTCAGAAATTTTGTCCAAGCCCAAATAATAATAAAGAAAATTTACCAAATAAAAATGCAAAATAAAGAAAATTATTTTAAAAAAGGTATTTGTAATGCACCGCTTTAAGTTCAAAACTTGTTAAGGGCGTATGTATAAAAAAATTAACGGCAAAGTTTTTTTGTCGGACACAAAACACGTGCAAGAGTAGTGGAGCAACCGAGACGAGAAATACGAGCGAAAATTTTATTAAGTTTGCAACGATTTTTGCATAGATGTTGCCTATTTCTTTCGTATTAAAAAAATTTTTTTTTGGAAATTTTACATATACATACATATTATATTGTCAAGTTATTGCGTGTTAGTTATTAAAAATACATAAATATGTACATATTTATTTGTACTTATATATGTATGTATATAGATATATTTTGGGGAAATGTTAAAGCATTTTAAATGAGTATTGTGTATAATTGGAGTTCTCATTGAACATTATGGACAAATTAAAGAAAGCAAAACAAGTTAACATTACATTGTATAAGTAGTTAGTAATTTAAAGTGAACAGCAACAACAACATAAAAAGATGTAAGACACTAAGCCCTAAGCTTAACTCTAAGGATGCCAAATAGAAGATTGAATACCACAAAATAAAAAATAAAATAAAAACTATATTAAAACCGAAAGAAGAAATTGGTGAGTAACACACCTATATAATAAAATAAAATAAAAAAATAGAACCAATTCTAAAAATGTGTAAATCATAAAACAACTCACCCTGTATTTAAAAATTGAAACTGTGAAAAAAGCATTTTATTACAATTGGTGTTCGAATTGTAGTAGAATGCTGACGATTTCCAGAAGTGCATGGAGAAAAGCAGAATTCGTGCATTTTCAAAGCACACACTCAAAACATTTTGCCAAATATGAACGCATATAAAAACACTCATAAATAAATAAAAAAAAGAAATGCTACAAGGCATAAACATTATAAAAAAATCACAAGCGGATGCGCTTACAAATTAAATGAAAATTAACATGAATAAAAACAACTTTTAAACTTAACAAAAAAAAAAGTATTTAACGATGTAAAAAATATATTTAAAAAAAAATCATAAAAATCTAAATTGTTGTGGTAGACACTGGAGCGTCAGTAACAATGCAATAAATGTATACAGAAAAAAAAGAAATATCAAAGGCTGCAAATTTTAATTTACATACATTATTGATCGATAAAGAGGTAAGTGAAATAAAATTATTTCTAGGAATCATTTTAAGTTCGTCGAAAGTCGAAAGTTTTATGTTCTCACCGCCTGTTCTATGACGAAAAAAAATTATACTCCTATTTTTTTTATTTTGCAATCAAAAAATATTTAGGGCTCGCTCAAAGCGCTCAAAGTTTTCACTATATTTTATCCGGGGAAAGCCCCAGTTTTCGTAGAAACGGTATAGAATTCTTGGAAATCAATAGCGCGATTCATAAAACGTCGCGAAGTGGCATTTTTGGCGAAATGGCAATATAATTTAAAAATCCAAAACACAAACTCTCAAAGACATTCTCATTTTCAATCTCAAACAACAACAGTTGTGAACAATTTATTTTTTTTTATTGTCGCAACTCCGAATTGCAAATGTAAAATTAAAAAAAAAAAGTTTTTACAATTAAATTTCGAAGCAGCTTTAACTGATATATTTTTCTTGAAGTATGTCAAGACAATAAAAAATATGCGTTTCGCGACTTTGACTTTGCAATGAATGCCACATAAAATATTATGGCAATGTCGAAATTTTGTCGCAAGAAAGCTTTCATACAAAAGTAATCAGCTGTGTTGCAAGGTGGCACATTTTGCCAAAAATGCGACATTTTATTGGAAGTTTTCGGAAGAGAAAGAGTTTTCTGATCGAAAATATTGATTTTCAAGAATTCTACCATTTGCACCAAAAAATATATATAAAATATATGGACAGTTTTTTTATTTCAAAATAAAAACGGGTATATTTTTTGGGTATTGCTTAAACCACGAAGCTCTCTTAACTGTCAAAATTTTTATGAAATATTTATCGAATTTAGAATTTTCTTTTATTCGATTTCAATTTTCTTACATAAAACTTGGTACTAAGCAGTTCCACGTATATTTTCCTTTTGTAGCCAAGTGGTTAGAGATGTAACACACAACAGCTATGAACAATTTCTTTTTCATTCTCAATTTTCTATATAAAATAATCGGATGGAAAATATTGATGAATGCGTTACCCTCAGCGTAAATTTTTTGATTTTCATTACAACCGTAAAGATTTTAAAGCAAAATCAAATTTGTGCGCCAAAATTGGTGGTGGAAATTAATATTTTATTTAGCAAATAATTTTTATTAAAAAATCTCACAAATATTTTTCTTCATTCTTCTCACCCGCATACATATCTGAAGCCTTTTTACAAAAAAGTGTTTAGCACTTGAATATGCATACAAAGATCGTTAAAGAACTCACATGCTTGCCTAATAAATCTAAAACTTTTTACGAAAATTAACTTTTATTTGCTCTTTCTCTCTATTTATACAATAGAGCTAACACATCAATACCCACGTAACAACCCTAATACATTTTTTTGTTTAATAATACCAGAATAACTTAAACTAATTGCTTTCAAATATTAAAAGGGTGGTATATTTAATTCCGGTTATGTCCTGTAATGACTTCATCTTTACGTAAAGGAATTAATGCAGTGTGGCAACACACAAATGTCAAAGCAATTTCGAAAATCTATTACAATAAAGAAGAATTTCGAATCCGGCACAGCACTTCGAAAGCAAAGTGTCAATCTGCCATTTTGTCAACGCTCCCAGTGGCATCCACAACGTAAGTTCATTTTTCTCCAGAAAAAAAGCAGTTTTACATACAAAAATGTGAAATCTTAAGGAAAAAGTTAGTGCAATATAAAATCTATAAGTTAATTTAATGTACATATGTTTTCCTAAGAGCCATTTATGCATAATTTGTTAATTTTTGCTGACTACATTCCGACACGTGTATAGTTAATCTTTGAGGTTATGGATAATACACCACTAATTTTTAACTTACTTTTTTCCGCCCTACAGGTTCCGTAACTCTTAATACGTTAAAATGTCGGGAGGCTTAGATATTCTGTCCCTTAAAGAGGATGATATCACCAAGATGTTGGTGGCCACCACCCATTTGGGTTCGGAAAACGTCAACTTCCAAATGGAACAGTACGTTTACAAGCGCCGCGCTGATGGTATCAACATCATCAATCTGGGCAAGACCTGGGAAAAGCTGATGTTGGCTGCCCGCGCCATTGCCGCCATCGAGTACCCACAAGATGTAAGTGGTAAATAAAAACTATACCGTTATATATACGTTAGCATGTTCCCGGATTGCAGAATTCGCAGGTTTTACGGGAAAGCTGTTGGCCACGTCGCATAAGGATTATTTCAGGTGAAAACAGCTTTCTAAGTAAATACCTTAAAACTTGCAAATTGTGGAGCACGTGAACAGGCTAAATATGTTTGTACAGTGTGCACATGATGATTTTTATCTAATCTTTCGGGTCTGAAATTCAATGAAGCCAACCTAACCGCTGATGGCACACTAAACAAATTTATTAGAGAATCGTTCTAATTTATAGGAAATGTAAATTTCTAATAAATGACGTTATTTCAGGTCTTCGTCATTTCGTCGCGTCCCATTGGTCAGCGTGCTGTACTGAAGTTCGCTAAGTACACCGATACAACACCAATTGCTGGCCGTTTCACTCCTGGTGCATTTACCAATCAAATTCAACCGGCTTTCCGTGAACCTCGTCTGTTGGTGGTTACTGACCCAAACACCGATCATCAGCCCATCATGGAAGCTTCATATGTGAACATCCCCGTCATCGCATTCTGCAACACCGATTCGCCTCTGCGTTATATTGATATTGCTATTCCATGTAACAACAAGGCACCTCACTCCATCGGTTTGATGTGGTGGCTGTTGGCACGTGAAGTACTCCGTCTGCGCGGAACAATCTCGCGTGTCACTGAGTGGCCAGTTGTGGTCGATTTGTACTTCTACCGCGATCCTGAGGAAGCTGAGAAGGAAGAAGCCGCTGCCAAGGAGTTGTTGCCACCTCCCAAGGTTGAAGAGGTTGTTGAACATCCAGTTGAGGAAGCTACCAACTGGGCTGACGAAGTTGCCGCTGAGACTCCTGCTGGAACTGAAGACTGGAATGACGATGCCGTCAAGACTTCATGGGGTGGAGATGGTAACTTCTAAAGCATTGGCACAGAATTCGAAATAAAGAGTTTTGTGAAAAATTAAGTCTGTAGGCGATGGCTAAATGACCGAAATAAAGTAATTTTATTGGTATATCAATTGGACTATTTTTTAGCATGTTCGTTGTGTAGTATTTGATTCCTTAATGAGTGGAAGGGTTTTTGTGGTTGCGCCTCAGCTTTGCACTTCCTGCCTTGATATGCCCCTAAAAGTATGCTTCGACAAATCGCTTCCGCCAAAAGTAGCAGGAGGAAAAATTCTGGTGCTGATACTTGCTGAGCATTTCTGGGTGCCTGGTGTTTTTCGGTCTATGAATTATGAATATGGTGCGGATACTTGCTGTGCATTTCTGAGTGCCGGGTTTTTTTGTCTATAGGAAAACTAATTACCTTTTAGAAAATTCGAAATAAAACACTGCAATTTTGTGTAAAAATAATCTTTATTTATTATTTAGATTTGTATATTCAATTAGTGTTTTTATTACGAATTTATATATTTAATTTTCTAGTCTAGAGAAAAAGTAATTTGGATAAATGGAAATAAACTTAAAAAGTAGATTATGCGATTTTAAACTTGATTTTCTCACAAAAAGAAGTTTTTTGAAAATAAACTTGCGCATTGTCAATAGTTAGCGAAGGAATTTGCAAAATATGCACAGCTTTGATAATACCAGAAAAAAAGGAAGTAACAAAAATTTAAAGAAAAAATAAAATCACTTATAGCTACAATCAAATATATAGTTTTTTCGCATTAAATCAATAAAAAAATTCCAAGCCGATAGTTTATAATACACTGTCATCATGGATTAGTTATTGGGGTAATATACAATACAATACATGAACTCCGGCATGGCTCTCAGTATTTTATCATACGAATATTTTTTGTTTACAAAATGTGACCATTAAGTGTGTTAACACAAATGTAAATAATTGAATCGTATAGCTATTATATTTCTATTGTGGTATAGACTTTCTTTTTATTGTGGTGATTTTATGCGGGAGCTTCAAGATTTTTTAGTATAATTTATAAAATTGTGTTATTTATTGCGATAACATGTTATTCATTTTGTTGTTAAATATGAATATTCCAAAAACTTACAAATTTAAAATAATAGCAATAATAATAAGCATAGTAATAAGTGACAATAAAAACGTTCGTACATTTCGATATAAAAATTATACATTTCTTATTGTTCAAAGTGTTATTTAAGTATGCATCGATATTTCGCGGTATTTATAGATATTGTTTATATTTTTTATTTGTGTTTTGATATTTTAATTGATATTTATGTATATTAACATGTGGCGTTTAAATCATATTTATAACTATATATCTATGTATTACTGTGGTTGTTGGTAGGAGTCTACTTGAAAGGATTTGGTCGTGCTTTAAATGTAGTGAGCTTTCGCAACTCCTTAATGCGTGCTTCTTCACGTTTTTTACGTTCTTCTTCTTCCTGAAATAAAGGAAAGTATTGCAACACGATTAGTCATTGAAAAGAAATCTAATGGATCGATTACGGATGGCAACCGAACTTCAGTTGGGCGGCCAGTGGCTAAAATGGTATTACAGATGGCAACTGGCAACTGAGTTGCTACATTGGCCACTGTATTTTTGTGGTTACCGCGGAAATTTTCATTTAGATAATTTATTTATTTTTTTAACTATTTCTTCAGCTTATTTACATTCAAGTCTTAGTTGCTGGTATTGTATTACCTTCAACTTAATAGAACTTAACTATAGTTGCTATTCATAATATACATACATGTGCATGGCATCTGTAGGATACCGGAGTAGGTATGACATTTTCATTTCAGCGGCGTTGCCCATCGCCAACCCAACTGAGGTTGCGTTGACATCCATAATCGACCCATATAAAACACATATGCATGTATGTATGAGCATTAGACCACGTCTAAATTAAACAAATCGCGCAATGCGACCGGCTTAAGACTCAAATTTTATCATTTGGTATAGTAACGATCCTCCATGAATCTCACCTCTCTAGGACAATTGTAAGAGGTACCGCCGCGAGACTTTAGTTTTCCGATAGAAATTACACGTAAGAAAATGAGTTCTTTCCTTTTGGGTCAATATCATTTTCTAGGATCAACGAAAGCGCTCGAAACTGTTATATTACATTGATTACATCCTTTTAAAAAAGGATAATTTAGGAATTTAAATAATCTAAGCCTGCTTAATTCTTAAATGACATGTAATCAATCTCAATCCTCTGTACAGTCCTGATTTGACACCCAATGATTTCTTCTTATTCCGGCATCTTAAACTACATCTATGGCAAGTTAATCGTTAAAATATTCTTTAGGAAGCCGATGAAATATTGCTCTAAAGAGAAAATGGCCTATCACGACTTAGGCTACTTTAACTAACGGGCACAGATATATGTACATGGAAACAGTGGTAGCTTCTATGTATATGAACTGTATCTATTATGGAAAACGTTTTTGTCTTTGAAAACCTCTGGTAGTCATTCAAACAATCACACAGGCAACAAACGGATAGTGCAGAGATTGGATTTCAAAATAGAAGTAAATATGGATATTCGCCAACGTAAGTAATTACAGCGAGTTCAGCTTTTGAATTTCTTTAATTTTTTTATGCAACGGTGGATGTGCTCCATTTCAAGAAAGAAAAAATGCGTTGAGCAGAGATGAAAGAAAAATGCAAAGTTTTTAATTTACACTCAACAATGCATGGTTGTAACCACGCGGTGAAAGAAAACAATAAAAAATCGCAGGCAGACGGGTGGCACAAGAAGTAAAGCACTGAAGAACAAATAGCGCCAGACCGCGGCAAACAAACAGTCAGCCAAAAGGCAAGGAGAAGGGGCAAACAAGCAGTACATCACATCGGTGACGCTTGAAGTCAACAAGGCAGAACAAGTGAAATTATGGCAGAGTACATTTCTATAGGTAGGTGCTGCAAATAACTAGAAATATGTAAATGTAATCACAAAAAATAAACGGAGGAGTTTGAAAAACTAAAAGAAGCAACGACAAAAGCGTCTGCTCGGGCGAGCACCGTTGTTGTAGCACAACACAAGTCTGCTATTTTTATAATAGACCAGCCCAGACCCATGAACTGTGCCTTTGTATGTGAATATATGTAATTATGTTTGTATGTATAAATCAAATCAAATCCCCAACGTCGTACGTCTGGCAGCAAAGCTCAACAGAACAGTGGGGCACGGCAGTAGTAGGTACAAAAAAAAACTAATAATGAAAAGAGTGCAAACCACGCACGTCACATCAGATAGTTACATATGTAT